CCCCCTCCCCGCCCCCCGTAAGAACGAGCACAGTGTAATCTTTGTACGGTCTTAGCCGGAGGCCAAAGCGGAGGTAGACGCCTGCCGAGTGACTCGAGTCCGGTGAGCGAGCCCCAAGTTTCTTTTTCTTGAAATGCCGCCTCGCGTTTTTGCAAATGGACGCCGCCGTTCGTGGCGAAGCGCGGCGGCTTTCCTTTCCTTTCCTTTCCTTTCCTTTCCTCAAGTTCCGCGCATAGCGGCCGCATTTAGAGCAGCCGGCCAGAGTGAGCGGAACCGGACGGCAAGACGGGAAGGGAAGGGCGGGCTGGGCTGAGCTGACTGCGACTTTGTTGGGGGTTTTGGGGGGGCTTGGGGACTTTGAGCACGTCGGCCGCACTGTTTTTCTTCTTCTTGATGCTGTCAAAGTCCGTCTCTCTCTCTCTCTCTCTGTCTGACACCGTCTGATCACATCGGTCGGCCAAACATGAGCTTTGACCGAGAAACCGCGAGCCAATTTGGACTTGCCTTTTGGAAAACAAACACCGTGTTGCGCTGCTCTGATCATAAAAATGGATTGATGTTTTTGCTTTGTTTATTTTGCAATCGATTCGATTTTTTTCTCCCTCTCTCTCTCTCTCTCTCTCTCTCTCTCTCTCGCCGTCTGATCACGTCGGTCGGCCAAACATGAGCTTTGACCGATAAACCGCGAGCCAAGTTGGACTTGTCTTTTGGAAAACAAACACCGTGTTCCGCTGCTCTGATAATAAAAATGGATTGCTGCTTTTGTTTTTTTTATTTTGCAATCTATTCGATTTTTGTCCCTCCCAACCACTCTCGTGAGGATAAGCGGCTCTGATATTGGACGGATAGCGAGATTTGAATTTGTGTTTTTCTTCTTTGATTTTCGGATGTTTTTTTGGAGGGGGGGAATATTTTTCTTACAATTTTTTTTTTTTTTTTTTTTTTTTTTAACAAGCGTTATTATTGGTTGGGCTCTTGTTGGTTTGTTTGATTGACAAGCGCATTTATTTTCTTGCAACGTTTTGGGTGGAACGATGAGACGAAATGTTCAGACCGCCGCGCGCGTGCATCTCTCGTCTGACCAGGCTTGTTTCGAAATAACGTGACATGCTGCCTCAAATATATTCTCCCGCGGTTTGCCTTCACGTGTTTGACATAGCTTTGGGCTGACTTAACTGCGCTCGCACTCGTGCTTGTCACTCACTTTCACTTAGTGTACGTGTGTGTGTGTGTGTGTGTGTGTGTGTGTGTGTGTGTGTGTGTGTAAGGCGAGTATGTACATGTGTTGTCAAATGATATGAATTGTCAGAAGAGACTCTACACTTTGACATTGTTCTTTCCTCTGCCTACCAATCAAATGAAACACGTTCCTCTTTTGGTTGCGCACCTCTGACCAAGACAGAAGGGGGCGGGGGGGGGGGGGGCCTTCTGCACAAATGCTTGTTGGACTCGGCATTGGCCCAACAGCGAAGGGGGCTTTCGATAAACAGTGGCTCATGAAAGCGTGTCCCAAAAGTGTCATGAAGACACCCGGGAAAGAAAATGCATGACATGCGCTCTCCTACCAAAGTCCGAATGACCTCCCCTTTTTCTGGCTCTGTTCCAGCACGAGACCAAAGATGTCGGAGCTCCGATAACGACCAAGACCCCGTGGCTCCGTACTCCGTGGAAACTCCATACGGTTTTCAGTTGGACTTGGATTTTCTCAAATATGTCGACGACATTGAGAGGGGCAACACCGTCAAGAAAGTGAGCATTCAGAGGAAGCCCAAAGGGGCCAAGCCGGGGCCGGGGGCGGCGGCGCCGCACCTCGACGCCGGGGCCGAATGGACGTCCGCCGACTCGCTCTCGTCCTCCAACAGCGACGACAAGCCGTCGCCGGTCTTGGTCAGCCCCAAGGCCCAGCTGACGGTCACCCTCCAAAGGGCGCCGTGCGAAGCCGCACCCCGGCGGTGCTCCGCCGGCGTCGCTGAACCCAAGCCGCTGCTGCCGCCGCCCTCGCCCGGATTGACGCCGCGCCACAACCCCCGCGTGGAGAAGACCCTGATGGAGACCCGGCTTCGCCTGGAGCAGGAGCGCCTGTTGATGGAGCCGCTGCCGCCGCCGCCCCGCCGCCGTCTGGGCTCCAGCGGCTCACTCTCGTCATACTCTGCGGCGGCCGGCCTGATCTCCCCCGGCGCCCCGCCGCCCCTGGCCCTCGACGGTCCGGCCCACAATGGAGAGTACAACCCTTACTACCCGCCGTCCGCCGGCAGCTCCGTCCGCCACAGCCCCCCGAGCTCCGGCGCGGCCACGCCGGCGACCAACGTCAGCCCGATGCACCTTCAGCAGATCCGCGAGCAGATGGTCGTCGCCCTGCGCAGGCTGAAGGAGTTGGAGGAGCAGGTGAAGACCATCCCCATCCTGCAGGTGAAGATCGCCGTTCTTCAGGAGGAGAAGAGACAGTTGGCCGCCCACTCCAAAGGTCCGGGCGCTTTCCGCAAGCGCTCCTGCAGCGTGGGCAGCGCCGAGCAAATGGAGAGCCCGGCCCCCGTCCCAAAAGAGACGGCGCTGCGCATCGACGAGCCCCAGCACCTGGAAGAGTTCCGGCGTCTGGCCGCCGAGGTCCAAGCTCTGGAGCGCACCGCCCTTGACAACGGCGATTCCGAAAACCAGATTCGGAACCGGGCCCTTCGAAAGTCCGTCGGCGTCGTTACCGACGAAAACATGAACAGCCTCCGAATCCGGGCCGGGAAAGCGCCGCGGGAGCGCGGCCGCCGGGACGCGGCCGTGGCCACGGAGCCCCGGGACACCCGCGGCGCTTCGGTGGGCGTCACCGAGGCCATGCTGGGCCTGACCGGCGAGGCGGAGAAGGAGCTGGAGCTCCAGCGGCGGACCATCGAGGCGCTGAAAGACGACATCTACCGCTTGGAGGTGCAGCTGAAAGAAGCCGCTCACCAGGCCGAGATGGCCAAGCTCAAGCTGGAGCTGCGGGCGGCCGGCGGCTCCGGCAAGAAGAAGGCCGACAAGGGCTCGACCGTCAGGCCCGAGACCTACAGCGTCTGCGTGGAGGCCAAAGTCCCGGTGCGCAGCCGGGGCGTCGGCGACCGGCTCGTCTCGGAACCTCAGAGCTCGTCCGTCGGGGTGTCGTGTCGCCCCAGCGTGTCGAGCGTCGCCGTCGGACCCGATCAAAGTTTGGAGGCCGCCCGCGAGCGCCGGCCGGTCGGGCTGTGCGAGGCGGGAACCAACACGGCGGAGTCTCTGGACTGCTCGGCCGTCTGCAAACCGATGGCGCAGTTGCTCAAGGAGACGCGATCGGTCGCCAGCGGCGACTGTTCCGCGGACGTCCGGGCGGTGTCCCGAGGGACCGACCCGGCGTTTGCGGCCAAAGCCGACTCCTGCGTGATGGCGGCGCCGGAGTCCGCCACGCAACAGACCAACACCGAGACCGAAGCGGTCAGCAGGTCCACCAACACCGAAACGCCGGCGCTGAGCGACTCCTCCACCAACACGGCCGCCGCCGAAACGCGAACGGTCGCCGCCGGAGAGGGCCTGATCAAAGACGTCCTCTCGGTCGCAAAGCTTCGCTCGGTCGCCGTGGGGACCGAGTCGCTCCTCGGCCCGTCCTGCGCCGCCAAGACCCAAGACTTTGGCGTGGGATCCGTCAGCATTCACGAGAACTTCCTCCTCGGTTTAAAAACGCGCAACATGGCGTGCGGGCCCTCGCAGCTCCCCGAACCAAGCCAAGGCGGCCAAGGCGGCGCCGGCCTGGACCACTACATCGAGAGAGTGCAGAAGCTGCTGCGGGAGCAACAGATGCTGCTGGCGGAGAACTACAGCGAGCTGGCCGAGGCCTTCGGGCAGCCCCACTCCCAGTTTGGAGCCATCAACAGCCAGCTGGTCAGCACGCTCTCCTCCATCAACTCGGCCGTGAGAAGCGCCGGCGCCGAGGACCTCCCGGAGCCCCGGCGGGCCCGAGCGGACGCCGCCGCCCGCTCAGGTCGTTGCCTTTGGCCCGCGTGCCGCGTCGTGGCTCTGCGCGGGCTCATGTGCAAACACACCCAAGTGGCGCGCTAAAAGCGGCCGCTCAGGAGACGTTTGTCGGAGATTCAACTCAATACGAGCACGTTCGATGCGGCCGAGTCGCGCTGTACTCATGGCCGTTATTTTTTTCAATGGGAAAAGCGACTCTTTCCTTTCCGGCTTTTCTTTGGGTACCGTCGCCCGGCCTCCTGCCCGAATACGGCCGGGATAGGCCCCAAAAACGTACCCCGCGGAAGAATACTCATCATGTTGATCAGAGTTTTTTGAAAAATGCTGAAAATACCCACAAAATAATCAAGAATTCAATCATTGAGTTTGCTTTCCTCCAATTTTTCCCTTTTTTTTGACAGATTACATCCCGTTCCAAATTGAAACTGTTCAGCTCATTGTCACTGACGCCCAAAATTCTCACTTTGCGAAATTCCAAGTTTTCCCCGTGACAACAGCCACGAAATCCCCCCAAAATGGCCGATTCCCACTGCTCTGTTTTTTTTCAAAATTTGCAAATTTCTGAAGCCAGGAAGGAATTCTGGGGGGGTTGGGGGGTTATGCTCCCCCTGCCCCCTCCCTCGACATCTCTGGAGCCATATCCACAAACCCTCGTTTGTCCATTTGCGGAGCGAGCCCTGAGAGGGAAAGTGCGGACGCGACGGCAGGCACGTCGTCATACGGGAAGGCCAACCGTTGCGCTTTTGGGGAAGGGAGCCGGACGCGGCCATCGCACCCGCCCTGGCTTTGTTTTTGTCCCTCCCTCCCAACACCTCGTGCCAATTCGCGGCCACCTCGCTGTTACGTAAGCCCGCTCTCACATTCTTGGTCCCGTGGCGCAGCTCCCTCCGCCTCGGGTCGTTCTCTCCGGAATGCAAAGTCACAGTGCCGTTACCCCGACTCGCGACTGCCCCCTCAAACGCAGGACCCGCCGCATTCCGCGCTCGACTGTGGCGCGGTGTTTTGAGTCGGCGTGATTTGACAAGCCGCTAAAAGTATTGGCCAAATCTACTGTCCGCGCGTGCGTCTTTGAGCGGTCACTGAATGCGTAGCGCAGCATCCCAATGTTCCTCCTAGAAATAGCGGACAGCCTGAAGAATCCAAATCGCGAGGTCCTTCACCGACCCCCGACCCCTCGTTGTCCGACGCCGCGCCGCCGCTATTTGCGCTGGTCCCGGGCATCGATAAATGACGTGTGGGAGTCCTCTTTCAAACTGTTTCTTCTGGCCTTTCAGACGCCGCGCCCGAGACGCGGGGAGACCAAGCCGCCGAGACGCAAATTGGGGATCGGCAGCCGCAGCAGCAGATGAGCGCGGCCGAGCAGAAGAGCCGCATGGACCTGCAGATGTCCACGGCGCTGCACGGTGGGAGACGCCGGCTTCCGTACGCCAACTCTCGGCGGAGTCCGCTAAGAAATGGCGTCCGCCGCAAAACAACGTGGCCATAAAATACAGACCAAAAACATTTCTATTATTATATTTTATTTATTTATTTTTTTTTTTGCTTGCATGCTTGAATTGTGCAAGTAAAAAATGAATCGGATTTTTCCCGATTATTGACGATTGCTATTTTGGGAATGTCGCGTAACGAAATAAGAACAATGTCATGAGGAGAAAAAAAACAAAGCAAGTCCATCTATTCCAGGTCGGCCTTGCGACGCCAACGCGCTGAAGTCCATCATGAAGAAAAAAGACGGGCCAGCCGACGGCGGCGGCGCCAAGAAGAACCTGCAGTTTGTGGGCGTCAACGGCGGGTGCGTGGCGTCGCTTTTGAGTGTCAGGCGAGGTTTCCCGGCGAAGCGCCTCCTTCCTCAACCTCCTTCCCCCCACCCCCTCGTGTGCCCTGTGGAGCAGCTACGAGACCACTTCCAGCGACGACTCCAGCTCGGAGGAGGGCAGCTCCTCCGCATCGGAGGAGGACGAGGACGACGAAAATGAGACGGAGGAGAAGCACGGCCGGGACGACGCGCCGGAGAGGACGGCGGGAGGAAGTGCCGATGAGCAGGAGCCCAGAGAAAGGTGGGCCAATGGCTGCCTTTCTCTTCATACGTGCACACACGCGCAACAATTCGGGGTCAGCTTCGGCAACGGGTGCGATTCTCCATGCAAACGTCCGTATTGTGCGGGTCAAACTCGGAATGAAAACGTGTGAAAAGGCGGAGCGGCGTTGAAAGCGCGACCCCGCAAACGGAGCAAAACATTCTTGCTCGGCGGGTTGCTGCTGTTCTTGGAGCCGCAAACTAATTGGCTCCGCTGGGCACAGTTGCCGACGCTCTTTCAATAAATGTCGCCAACTGCGCCCACTAATTGGCTTCGTGCGCCGAGGCGCGCGTCAAGGCATTGCTGTCATTTTTTTTTTTTTTTTTTTTTTTTTTTGTGGGCACATTTAAGGACGGGCCCCGGGGGAGTCGTTCCCTATGCTTATATCGACTCAAAATGCTTCTCTATGTTCTTGAGGAATTTTGCCTGCTTTTTGAAACTTTAAAATCGAATAACTTCCATCATTCAAACCACTTTCTCCATTCCAGCTCTTTTTCCAGAGACATTAGCAAGGCATTGCTGTTTTTTTTTTTTTTTTTTTTTTTTTTGTGGTCACATTAAGGTACGAGCTCAGCGAGAAGTTGTTGGCGGCGTGCAACGTCCTCAAAGTTCACCTCAGCAAGCCCGACGACGTGAGCGCTAAAGACCTGGTGAGACTTTGCATTTGCCTTCCTCTGCTCGATTGCGGCTGAGCTGCGGTGGCGCCGGACGGCCTTTTCACCCAACCCACGTTTGCGGCCACTTGTTTGAACGCGTGGCAAATGGATAGAAAATGGGACACATCCGCTCACTGCCCGATGTCTGCGCGGGAGACGGACGTGAGCGGTGGCCAACAGCAGCTCCTGCACGACTGTTCTTTTTTGTTTTTGTTTCTCCCGCAGAGGGCAAGCGTCAACGCGGTGCAGCACGAGTGGTTCCGCGCCTCCAGCCAGAAGGCGGCATCGGCGTCTGCCGTGGCGGACTACCTGGCGGCGTTCGGGGCCGTCTCCCCAAACGTGCTGCGCCACGTGGTCAACATGGCCGACGGCAACGGCAACACGGCGCTGCACTACAGCGTGTCGCACTCCAACTTCCCCGTGGTCAAGAAGCTTCTGGACGCCGGTGAGTTGCCGCGCGGCCACGCGGCGCATCCTCGGCCAAAGCGGCTTCCCATCGACTTCCTTGAGCCGCGAGTGTGGCCGTGCGGGCGCTTGTAGGGGCGGAGCGCGTTCTCGCAACGAAAATGTTTGCCTGGAGTGGAAAACAAAACAAAAAATAGTTGAAATGTGTATCATAAATTAAAAAGTAAAAAAAATTGAGCGGAAAGGTAGAAGTCCTCCATGGCCGATGCGCTTTGGGCCGTTTGTAGAATGGAACAAGCAGCCAAACGAGAGACAAATGAGAACACTCGCCATTGCGGCTCCCGCTCTTGATGTCAGTCGCTAGGCCGCGCCCCTTAAAGGCACACATCCAACGCATGACTATGACAGCACCAGCCACACCTGCTCATTTCTTGACATTCTTTCTCAGAAGCTGCTCGTGTGTGTGTGTGCGTGTGCGGTCGCAGACGTGTGCAACGTGAACCAGCAGAACAAGGCGGGCTACACGCCCATCATGTTGGCGGCGCTGGCCACCGTGGAGACGCCCGCAGACATGCGCATCGTGGAGGAGCTCTTTGGGAAGGGCGACGTCAACGCACGCGCAAGTCAGGTCGGTGCGGCGGGCGAATCTGCCAACACCAACTCGGTGTGTTTTTCGAAAAACACACCGGAAATCTTCCGGCGTGAGCTTCTGCGGCCGCAACGAGGCGGCCGTGTGAAAATGGGACCGAAATGCAGGCGTGTTTTTCCCTCAGGCGGGCCAGACGGGCCTGATGCTGGCGGTGAGCCACGGCCGCATGGACATGGTGCGGGCGCTGCTGGCCAACGGCGCCGACGTCAACGTGCAGGACGACGAGGGCTCCACGGCGCTCATGTGCGCCAGCGAGCACGGACACGCCGACATCGTCAAGCTCCTGCTGGCCCAGCCCGGCGCCGACGCCACGCTCAGCGACAGCGTGAGTCGCCGCGCCGCCCCAAAACCCAAAACGTTCGGCGAGTCGCAAAATCGCTTGGAGTCAATCGTCACCTTTCATTTTGTTTAGGACGAGAGTAACGCCCTGTCCATCGCTTTGGAAGCCGGCCACAAGGACATCGCCGTCCTGCTTTACGCGCACGTCAACTTCTCCAAAGCGCAGTCGCCTGTACGCGCCGCAGCTTCTTGGAATGACGTTCGAAATGATTTGCTGTTGTCTCACACTTTGGCCGTCTTTTGTCCTTTTCAGGGAACCCCCCGGCTGGGCCGCAAGATGTCGCCGAGCCCCACGCGCAGGGGCGCCTTCGATTAGCCTCTCGGAGGCTGACGTTAGCGCATCAGAGGCTAGTTTTCGCTCATCCAACTCAACAGGTACTTTTGGTCCAGAGTGGCTACCGCTCCGAGGCTATTGCTACCGACTCCCAAACTATTGGTCGAAACTCCCAAGGCTAGCGACTCTGAGGCTAGCATTAGCAACTTGCGGGCTAGCATTGGTGACTCTTCACTGCCTTATTAGAGCCCAAGTGGACACTTTGGGCCTTACCTTCTCCCCCCACTTGCTAATATGGATGTAACCGGCTGGTGCCTCACACCGTGCGTTTGGTGTTCCACAGGGATACGAACAAGGCCACCATCTTTTTTTTTTTAAATGTAAATCAGCCTCCAAATGTGTCTTTTTTTCCACTTGTCTGTTATTGGGGCCCGGTGTAAATAGTGCTGATCTCCGGGCCGAGATCAGCAACTTGTCTCCCAACCCTTTGTATCAATTTCAAAAGAAAGACCACATGTATTTATCAAAGTATACTTTGGAAAGCACATCATCTTTGTACATACCATATGTATGGAGTCTAGTATTGTGGTTTCCGCTTTCTGTGTCACTGACATGAGCGTCATTTTGCGTAAATGTCATCATGTAACAATAAAGATCAATCAAAGTCCACACAATGCGCCACCACCACTGCACCTACTGCAACTCCTGCTTGTGGAAAATAACTCCCACACTTGTAAAAAAAAAAAAAAAAAAGTTGCTGCAGGGCGGCGGGGGAGGACCGGCGTCCTCTCCCCCTCCCTCTGCCATCTTCATCCCGACCACAACCACGACTGGTCATTTGCGAGCACGCCCGGCCATGAGCGAGAGGCCTCCATCCAGCTCGGCGTCGCCGCCGCCTCTGCCGCCGCCGCAGCAGCGCGGGCCTCGGACGCCCAAGTGCTCCCGTTGCCGCAACCACGGCTACGTGTCGCACCTGAAGGGCCACAAGCGCTTCTGCAAGTGGAAGGACTGCCATTGCGACAAGTGCAGGCTCATCGCCGAGAGGCAAAGGGTCATGGCGGCTCAGGTAAAGTCACGCGCGCACCCCCGCGAGCGCAGATGTGGCTTCGCCGTCGCCCAAGTCATTTGTTGCCTCGCAGGTTGCCCTGAGGAGGCAGCAAGCTCAGGACGAGGAGTTGGGCTTTTGCAGCCCCGTAAAGCTGGCCGCCCCGCCGTCCTCGGTCAAAATCGAAGACGAGCCCCACTACCTGTTCGCTGCCGAAGGACGACCCCTGACCCCGGCCGCCGATTCTTCTGCTGCTGCTTCTTCTCTGCCGGCAGCCACAGGTGAGGCGACAGTTGTCAAACCCGCGCAGGCAAGCCAACAGTCCCGAGGGCCGAAAGAATCAGCAGGTGGGGTGGGGGTGAAGGTGGAGGGGCATGTCATGGAAAATAGACTTTTTGCACCCAGGTCGTCGGGTCTCTCGAGTGCTTTCCCTCTGACCAATTTCTTCCCATTTGTGTTTTCCAACATGCAAACTCAAGGCCCGAGGGCCGGATCTGGCCCGCCGCCTCATTTGACGTGGCCCGCGAAAGCCAAACAAGCATGTGGGCCAAAACGGGTCCGGAAATTTCCAATATTTTGCAACCCCAACCCCCTTCTTCCAGTAACCGGAAAACCATTTGATCAAGTGGAAATGCTTTCCACGCTTTCGTTTTTTTCCGTTGTTCTTTTTTTCATTCCTCGATGTGTGTGTGTGTGTGTATATGGTTAGCGACTTGGAATATAGATCATTTCCCACGGCGCACAGCGTGGGAGGCAGCGAACAAACGGCGAAAAAACGTCACTCGCTTGAGTTTTTGGCCGCTTGATCAAAAGCACGGCGTGTCCTTGGCGCAGCCGCATTCAAGTTATCGCCGCGCCGTGCTCGGGAAATCCTGCGCCTAAGGGCCAAAAAGGGGCGCGAGTGTTCCCGGCCGTATCTGGGAGCGCATTCTTAGGAGGCGAGCGCGGCATGACAGGCCAAGGCCGCCGCCGTCGTCACGGGAGCGGGAACAAAAAGGAGGCGAGCACGCGACGACTCTGCGGTGACGAGTGACGGCCCGACGCCGGCGCATGAGGTCAGCCGGGGCGCAAGACAGAACAAGGCGGCTTTGGAAGAAAAGGCCGCTCGCCTCAGCCGGCTGACGCGCGCGCGGCCGTTAGGGGGCGCCCTTGACTTGCTTTGCATCCCCCCCTAGTGTCAACTTCTGTGCTACTCGCTCAAAAGTCTCTTACTTCAACAGCCAATCAGAACCTTTCAACATCAAAATATGTCTAAGCAATTATTAAACAGCAGAATATAATTTTATATATTCTTAACATGAAATAATAGGATGCTCAAACGTAACATGATAATAATTAACATCAGCTTCCACATGCACTCTTGTTGTCATTTAACTTGTGTGGTTCATTTTGATCCACTTGCAGTTTCTGGTGGCTACGTCGTATTTGGAATCATCTTGAGTGAATTCATTTTTGCAAAAAGCTTTTCGTGCTCATCTGTGTTCCTTCTCGGGATTGTCTCCCCCCTCCGCGGTCCGTTCGGGGGGAGCCCGACGAGTGACCAGTGCGCCCGTGCCCGCTTTGTGTCGCTCAGGTGGGGCGGGCGGCGGCGGCAGGCCCCTCGGCGACCTCCGGGCCGAGCCGCAGTTGGAGAACCCCTACGAGCATCTGTACCAGCCCCCCTGCTACTCGGCCTACTACGCCAACGCGTACAACTTCCAGCCGTACCAGGTGGGCGCCGCCGGCGACCTTCCTTTCCGAACGAGACCGTCGAGGGGCAGCCTCGCTCACGTCGCGACCACCGCGTTGCCGGCTCGCGAGCGTTTGGCGGAGGGAGGGGGGGCGCCACAGTTTTGCTTTCTTTCTTTTCCAGTGGCGGAAGAATGGCGGTGTCAAAGCCAGGCCTTTGTCGCCGCCTTGCCAGAAACCTTGAAAGCCCCTCTGACTGTGAAGGCTGGCTTGTTAAGAGTTTTTGAAAACAAACCAAACAGCTCACCCGCAATTGGAAATTTCCTCAGTGAAATAAAAGAGAAAAACGCTTGGGGGGGAAAAAAAACGAGAACTGACTGAAACTTGAAGGTCATTCGGTTAAAGGAAGAAGGTAAGATCAAACACAGTTGTTTGAAGACCCTTGTTGACATTTTTATCTTGAACTCGACCAACATTCTGTACGTTGAGGGGTTCGTAGTTTTGGAATGGATGGCTTTTACGTCAAGATTGGGCAAAAAAGGAGAGATCGACTTCGTTCGTTTGAACGCAGCCTTTATTTTTTTTGAACGTCTGCTCCGCAACTGCGGAACGAACGAGAACACACCCCCTTCCGGTAACGAAAACACTTCTTGCTTTTCTTCAGCCAATCAGACGCAAGCGACGTAAGAATGTTTCAGCAATTATGAAACAGAATATCATTTAGGTACCTGTAGCATAAAAGAATATCATGCTCAAATATACAATGTTAATAATTAACAATTTAACAAAAGCTTACAATTCAATTTAACCCCCCCAAAACAAACAAACGAATACTGAAATGAATAAAACCGAAACTTGCTCTCTAAAAGTAATGCAACCTAAATGATTTTTTTTTAAAAAAAAGCACATCGAAATACAAATTAGTGGCCGGCAAAAAATGTCTGTGTCAGCTATTTTTTGAAAGGCATCATTACCCCCAAATAAAATGGATTGATTTCAATCAATCAAATTAAATCATCATTCCCCATCGAAATGCACCAAAAAGCCACGAATCTATTCCAGCCCCCCACCACCCCCCACCGCACACAAAATTGGCTGTGCAACGGACTCAAAAAGCCTCTGTGACAAGAGTCAGCTTCGACAGAGCAGCAAGAATAGATGCCCGTGAGTTGTGCTTTATTTTCTGTCGACACAAGTGTTGCCCTCAAACATGTTTTTTAACTCCGCTACACAGATGCTATTCGTTAGCCTGTCTTGGGTATTTTGTCTCATTTGTTAGCATAAGATGACCATTCATTTGGAAAAGCTGTGTGTGGGTGTGGGTGTTTTTTAAGATGCTGGGTGCTTCTCTTGGTTTAATCTTTCGTTTGTCTTTCTGAAGAATTGTCCATCATTTTCCTAACAACCAGCTTGCTTGTTGCCACATCCCTTGATTTGAGTTGACTGCCACCTTGAGAGCTCCAATTTTTCATCGCACTTCAAAGCCAAAAATGGATTGAAAAAAATCAAATGAGACAATTTCGGGAGGGGGGGGGGGGAATCTTGCAGGCCCCTTGCTGCCGTAAATGCTCACTTAGCCGGATAACAAGCGCGCCCGCGAGCGTGCCAGCGGCATGCGGTTCCGAGCTCCACGCCGCCTTCGCTTCAGCATATCTCGATGGCGTCGGCCATAAACGAGCTTTGCGAGTTGAACAGATGGGCGCCCTAACTCCCGAGCAATCCGGAACGAGGCGTTTCAGTTTTCAGGATAAATGTTTGCGCCCCCGCCCCGAGTAGCAACGTCGGGGTCACCGCGCGCTCGGCGCTTGAAGCGGCGCTGCCCGAATTGCAAAGGTTAATGGGATTGTGTGTCGGCGCGGGGAGGAGCCGCTCCGCCTCAGCGCGCACGGGGGGTGGGGGGGGGGGCGGAAGCCGGCGCATTAATGCTCATCGCTTAGCACTCCTTAGCATAATTTAGCCATCCCGCTCTGTGATTGATGGCGATTTTAGCCAAGCTGTCATCTGGAGCTGATTCAAATTCAGACGCTCGCTTCCTCGCGTTTGCGTCAAAAGTGAAGGTGCCTCGCACGCGCGACGCTTGTCTAGGGTCTGTCTGGTTTTTTTTTTTTTGTATGTCCTGGTAGGGAGCCGGTCATCTTCACGGCGACCCCGGGGCGTCCAAAATCGGGAACTCGCTCCTCTTTTCAAACCCCACCCGAGGGTGGCCTGGCAAGCGGCAGCCGCAAAGAAAGAACCGGCCGCGGCCTTTATGGCTGGACCTATTCGGCCTCCCTGTTTCAAGAAGGCGAGCGCTGAAATTGACAAAACATCTCAGCCGCCCGAAAGTGGTCAATTCCAATGAAGGCGAAGGCTTCACAAGTCAACGCGCGTCCACCGAGCAGCGTCGGCCGCGGTTTCGGTCGCGCCACGAGCAACGAGGGAGGAAACGCGCGGCGGCTTATCTGCGCGGCATCGGACGCGCCGCACACTCGGCGGCGCGTCCGATGCCGCGCAGCTGCCGGCAAATCAAATGAGGGCGCGCAGACGCCAGATGCTGCCTGATAACTCGGTGCGCGGCATCGGACGCGCCGCACACTCGGCGGCGCTTGGCCGCCGCGCAGCTGCCGGCAAATCAAATGAGGGCGCACAGACGCCAGATGCTGCCTGATAACTCGAGTCCACACCTCCCAGGGAGGGACGAGACCAACGTTCGACATTTGGAGTCCTTTCGACCAAGGGGGAGGTCTTCAACTTTGCAAGTCGGCGGTTCCTCGAACCCGCCGGAGCGTTTGCCGCTTGTCACCGGCGTTGTCGCGCACCTGTGGAGCCTGCGCCGCTTCCCCTCTCGTCTGCAGAAGGGACGAAAACGGTTCTCGGCTCCCGTTTAGCCAAATGCGCATTCCCCCAACGCCAATTATCGGAGCCAGAGGGCAACCGCGTCGGCGCCTCGCGCCAACTCGGGCGGAGGTCTCGAAAGGAGCCGCCGCTGTCCAAACGCTCGGACTCGGGATTGAGCGTCTGATGACGAGAATGAGAAGGGGGTGGGTTGCGCGCGGGGCCCCTCGCTTCGCCGTCCCATCCGGGCTGTATTTTTCAGAGCCGAATGTCACTTGGAGAACCGTTTATAAAGCTGTCAGCCAGCCGATGGTGTGGACGAGGCGGCTGACGGATGCTTCTTGGCGCTGACAGAAATCACATTGCGTAAAAAAAAAAAAAAAAAAAAAAGCCAAATTGAAAATGCGGCCTTTTTGCTCCGAAGGACTCTGTGATGAGCGCGTGTGTCTTTGTGGTTGTTGTTCCCGGGCAGGTGGCCCACGGCGACGGCGGCCACAACGCGTCCCCGCAGTACCACGTGCACCCGTGCTACTCGGCGGCCGCGTACCTCCCCCAGGACCCGGGCCCCTCCTTCTTCAGCCTGGAGGACGGCGACTGCTCCCAGGCCGCGGCCGCCCGTGAGTGACCCGCCGCGTGCGTGCAGCGCGGTCGAGACGCCTTCGAGAGCGTCTTGCAAAACCCGGCCCATTTGACTTGCGTTCCGACGACATCTCCGCCGTGTTTGGTGTCACATTTTGACTCAACTCAAGCGTATTTGCCGAGCACTTTAAAACAACCGGCGCCGTCCGCAAAGCGCCGGGCGCGGAGCAAAAAATATTCATGTAATAAAACAATCAACGAAAGAGTCCAACTAAAAATCGCGTCTCAGGCTGAGGCAAAAGCCAAAGAAAAAAAAAAGAGGGAGGGAAAAGGCGCCGTCCCCTCGAAGCCTCGGGAGGTCCGGTAGGGATTGGAAAAGAAATGATCGGCTCGAAAATGGGGAGCCAGCGTAGGAGTGATGCGCTCCCTCCCTCCCTCCCTTTTTCGGGGACCATTCAAAAGGCGAGCGGCGGCATTTTGGAGCGACTGGAATGGAGGATTGGCGTGACAGTCATGCGGCCGACATGCGACGAAGGAATGACGGTTTCAGAGCGCTCGTTCCAGAAAGGAAGGAGACGCTTGACTTGAGCCAGCTTGACTGTTTTCCTGAAGGATGGGCGACAAAAAAAGGGATGAGGCCTTCACCCAAAAAAATCGAATCAAAGCTGTGAATGTTGACTCTCAACGCCAATCGCAGCAGCTCCGACAGCGCCCCCAAAAGTTCCACCCGGACACGCATGGGCGGCTCCAGCAGCCCCGCATGTGCTTCAAATTTGTTTTGGACTTTCACCCGCCTGTTTCCCGTGAGGGCGCCTCGCCTCGCCTCGCCTCCGCCCCTCCCGCCGCCCGAGGCTTTGCGCTCCATTACGAGAGCACAAGCGCTTCCCCCGCGGGTGGTCCCGCATTGGGTAGCGGCCCCCAATTGTCCCCCCCCCCACCCCCTCCCTCACCGAACAGGAAACGCCGGCCATGACATCCAGCACACCTGCGATAACGAATAATACGCCTCACCTCAACACGGAGGATGAAACGTGACATTTAGTCAGCGTGTCTCCTGCAAGGAGATGTCGGGGGGTGTGAGGACGTTCCGCACGACCTTGAAGCGCCGCCGAGAGGACGCGCTAATCTTATCCGGCCGAGGCGCCGTTCGGCCGGTAAGAATAAGCGCACCATTCTCGCGCGCGTCGTCGCCGTTGACTGATTTGGCACGGATTCCCCATCTTATCAGACGTTTGGTCGCCATCCAACACGCGGGCGCTTTTCACAAACGAGAACGGGCCTCGCCCGAGGCGACGTGTCCGCGCTGCCGAGAGGACGCGCTAATCTTATCCGGCCGAGGCGCCGTTCGGCCGGTAAGAATAAGCGCGCCGTTCTCGCGGGCGTCATCGGCGTTGACTGATTTGGAGGGACGCCACCTTTTGGGGAAGTCTCTTCTCGGCGATCCCATCCTGGATCAAGTCGAGACTCGTCCGTTCTCTTCTTTGAATCTTCTGTCTTGCGTGAAGAGGCGACGAAAGCCATCCATCCGTTTTCTTCTGCTCTTTCATCCCTTTCCCCAGCCACTTCATTTAGGGATCACCAAGCCTTGCCAGAGCGGTGGGGGAGTCTCCGCGGGGTGGCCTCCGGGCCTCCCGCCGGTGGGACGTGCCCGGAGACTCCAGAAGGAGGGCCGGTTCAGACCCCCTGCCGGGAAACCGGCGTCCCGGTCCTTCACGATCCGCGGCTCGTGACCAAGAGAACCCGAATCGAGTCGGTTCATCGAGAGCTCGGTCTTTCGGCTCAACTCATCCATCCGCCTGTCAATCTCCCGCTCCAAAGGCGCTCGGAAGCCCCGAGCCGAAGATGGGGCTCCGCCCTTTCCCTACGGAGGACCTCGGATTTGGAGGCGCCGACGCTCATCGCTTTTGAGCTTCGCGCGCGCTGGCCAAAGTTCGACGACCGCTTGGGAAAGCGGAGACCCACGACTGGGATCCCCCAACCGAACCGAACCGACCCGCACCTCAAAAGCCTTTGCGTCAACAGAATCGGTTGGCGAGGGGCGGCCCCGGAGAGTCCGAATTCAGAGCAAACTGTGCCGACAACACTCCCAGAGTGACGCCATCCTGTCAGGGATCGGCGTTGGGCGCGAAGCGTTTGGGACCGCCAACGAAAAGACTGGGGGGGCCATGTCCTCTGGTTACCGGGACGCCGGAGGAAAGCGGACCCGATTTCCCGCCTGCTTCGCGGTATTCGGGGCGAAAGGCGCCGGAGGCCCAATGCCGGATGTTTTCCGGCCGCCGCGACCCCCGCGTCAAAGCGCGCCACCGCGCTCCGGCGTCCCCGTTTGCCCGAAGCGGAGACGACAGAAGAAGCCAACTTTGGTCAACTCGGTCCCGAACAAAGCTGTCCAAAAGCGCAGCGGCCGGCAACGGGAACCGACGGGGAGGCGCCTCGCCCCTCCCCAACGGCGCCGCGGCAGATTGATGGGGGCTTCCGAAGCCGGCCGGGGCTAATCACTTGGCCAAATACAGAGATCCAAATAACCTTCAGGAGCAGCGCCCGCCGTCCTTTCCCCCGCCCATCGACAATCGCCCCCCCCGC